CCCCAAAACCCCAAAACCCCAAAACCCCGTCATGTATAAATATAGTGAACCCATTTAGCAAAAACAACGTTAATTTTAATTATACTAATTTTTTAACAAGCAAGTAAACAACATCTCTATTGCTTTATGCCTACTTAGTGATGATTTATATATTGACTTGATAAATAAAATTGACGAGTAAGACTCTTTTCTAAGGCCTCATTGATTTAACTCTCAACAAACTCTAAATTCTGGCTTTTATTAAGGAAGTTAACTTTGTATTAATGCTCTCTCAGCCTTTATTTTCTTACTTTCTTCAGCAATGCGCTTTATATAGTCTGGTAACTCTATAGTCTAAGGTCTGTGAGTGCACTCTTGTAACTCCTGTTCCTCTTTCATCTTTTTAAACTATTCAGCCTCCTTCAGTCTTTGATCTTGTTAGATCTAACAGGCCTTAATGAAATCATCTAGACCACCAGACTGTATTTGCAACTTAGAATTAACTTGCTGAAATTCCAAGGTTTTAGCTGTGACTAAGTCAGGTTTAAAAGTTGCAACCTGCTTTAAGTTCATATCAAGCTCAGCTGCAATTCTATCCAATTTCTATTGCTTTTTTATAAAGTCACCATAAGATATTTCTTCGATATTCTTACTATGCTACTATTAACCTTTTTTAGTTATTTAAGGCTAGAAGGTGCAATTCTGAAGTTCTATTGTATTTTACTACAGCTAGTGATTTTGCTTTTTTTCTAGCAGTAGTTGGTTTCTTTCACCAAATGTTAAACCTTAAACATGATCTTAATACTAGGTATTTGTAATGTCAAGGATTTAGGGCTTATGAGTGTGCGATAAATCTTCTTTTATTTTCTTAATATGCTCTTCCTTGTCCAGCAAAAACTTATTTTGCCTTTCAAGTAGCCCTAATATTGGCTATATTTAGGCATTGTTTATCTTTGACTGAGAAGTGTTAGTTAATTAAGATTATATTGATGATAAATTTGCACAATTCTAGCTCATTCCTCCAACGTTATTATAGTGATTTACTTAAAGTTGCTAAGAGTTTCCATCTTTTGAATTAGATTGAGTATTGAATGTTTGGAAATTTTAGAGTTACTGGCCAAATGAGTTTAACTGTGATTAGATCTTTTCAATCTCAGATTCTTCTTCTTAGATAGTATTATTGGGATAATTACTTAAGAAGTCATTTGGTTATTAGTTTTAAAACTCCTCATCATTTTAAGTACCATCTATTTGAGGCATTAACTGACTTAGAGGCTTGCTTAACCTTTCGAAAGCATTGATACTAGTATATAGTTAAGCAGTTTACATATGCTTCTTAAGTCCATTAATCTGAGGAGCAAAAGTGCATTCTCTTAGCTCGGATTGCTCTTAATTGTAATGTTATAGTCCAGCATTGTAAAAATCATTCACATGAATTCTATTTTAAACTAGATCCTCTGTGATTTACATGTATCTGCTACCAACTCCATACACATCTTTTTCGTTTAACTATGGTTTAAAGGTACATTACTGCTAGATTTTATCCTCTTATTCCTAGGCGTATCTTTGCTAAGTCTCCTACACCTTTTTGAATTTAGATTCATAAAGTCTTTCACCTCTTTTAGATCCTGAACCATTTCTTCTGTTATTAAGAATCTTAGAAGATTTGCTATTGGTTTGAGGCTTGAAAGTGCATTCTTTCATTTATTGATCTTATTACTATTACTAGATCTATGTCTTTTTATAAGCTTACTAATTTATCCACTTATTATTTCTATCATTAAATCCTTTTGTATCGTTAATGACCTCATATGATCCAAGACTGTCTATTGCTTAGAAATCTTTATATAGCTAATGCATGTTTTAGTTGTTATTGTAGAATTTGTTTTCATTTGAACGATATGTTTACGAGCCTTGAAAGCCATATCCTTACTTATTATTGCCATTTCTTGCTCCTAAAATAGTTGAGATGCCCTAGCCATCAGTTGACTAATCATAAAAGACTGTCTGAGTCTCATTTAATTAGGAATACTAAGTAATATCCTGATTCTAAAACTCATTACTGCGGTGATAAGGTCTTTACGTATACTGCTACTGTATTTGATACTCATCAATCATTGGATACTGATGCAAATTTGGCTTAGAATTCGTATTTGAGGAGTAATTAGAAAAGGGTAGTTATTCTCTAAGTACTTAATTAACATTTACTATTGGCTCTACTTGAGAAGAAAGCAGATTATTTCTTGTATTTTGGCTTGCTACTGGGCTGTTGAATATCGAGGCAAATTAATGCACTCTTTCAACATTACTGGGATTAGCTTAGTGATTGATGTGCTAATTATGTTAATTGCTTAATAGATTATTTTAACTTATCTCATCTTGATCATCTCTCTAGGTAAGCAAATATGAGAACTAGTTATCAATTGCCCTTGTTAACTCATTAGCTCTTCTCATTATCTCTTCCTTGTCCATATAATCCTGAGGTTCATCGTTGTAGTTGTTGAAGTTCAGTTTGCTTTCTGTGTTTTAATGAGATAAAAACTACTCGTTATTATTTGAATAGGAAGGCTAGTTTGTTGATCTTTTTCTATCAAACAATTAGAGATTAGATCTAATATATTCAATTGACTATCTGCTGATTCCACTTCGGTCAGTCTAGTCATTATAGCAATCTTCATCTCCAGAGACACATGTGTTTTGGTATTAAGAATGAGATCCTTAGTTGTCCACTATCTTTATCAAACCAGGGTCTTCATCAAAGAATTTATCGCTAAATTGAAGTGGCATTTAGTATAGCTTTTTCTCTCTTGAATTTCTGACTTCCATAAGTGTACTGGTATTTTCATCTCCTCTAAAGTTTGAAATTTCCCTTAGAGTTACATCTTCTAGATGTGAAGTGCTGCTGTTATTCGTATTTCCAATATTATGAATATCTATTGAATTCCTATGACTATATTAGCAAGGCTGCATTTGTATTATTTCCTAGCTCGTCTCTTCATTCATAAAATTCAGAGATGATTGATCATTGACATTAATATTGCTGTTAATGTTTGATATTCTATGAGCATGCAGAGGTTGATTCATAAGTTAGAATTCTACTGCTGGAAAACTGGCTGTAGTCACAGATTGCCCTGTTGCAAGACTATTTGAAAATACTCCTCCATTTTCCAACAGTTCGGGAGGCATCTATCTAGAACTCACTGTCTAAGACTGAAGTTAAGATAATAATTGATCCTTGGATAAGGTCCCAGACTTCAGTTACTCTATTAAAGTGTTAGCATTAAGTTGAATGCGAGCTGAATAATTTTATTGCAGTTCTTAGTCCATTTTTATCGTTAAGATTTTGAATTTTCTTCTTTTAAATTACCTTTTTATTATTTCAAGAAGTTGAACTTAAATTATCTTATAGATATCACAATATTTTTAATAAACATTGTATGAATGTTTGATGGGGTTTTGGGGTTTTGGGGTTTTGGGG